ACGCCGGGCATGCAACCGATGGTGGATGGTCGCGAGGCGTGGGAGTCAGGCCATGACGGGACCATGGACACATCCGGTACAGAGTTTGAACATTGGATCAATCCTCAACCGGCTGCATTTTAGGGATGACAGAGATCTATTTCGAATCCCATGACGAATGTGATGAAAGCGACGAGCTCGACGAACTTCTTGATGGAGATGTACGTCGTCTTTGTTCTCGGATTGGCTCTCTGATTAAATTGAACATCTTGATACTGGAGTTCCAAGGCGTACAGATCTAAATGACTTAGTGATATCCCTTCTGGAGGCGGTTTCTTTGTTTCTAATGTATCTTTTCTTAATCTTTTCTTAATCTCGCCGATATTGATTCCCAGGGGTGGCAAACTGTTGGCTCTGATTATGTATGATAGCTCTTTGTCAATCGTTCACTCGCATAGAGTTGCACCGACTTTTGTGATTCAGATATACCAATTCATATCTAATAAATTCTACGTCATGTTTCTAATGATTCCCTATGTAATCGTCATATCTTAGATGTAACAATTGTGCTTATCTCGATAGGATCGAGACTTTTGATGAGGATCTCTGAAGGGTGGCTTTGAATTGCACTCCAAGCTTTGATTCACGTCGAGTCGCATTGTTATCAGCAGTAATGACCATTTCGTGTATAGGTATATATTCTCCGCAGCAGAGATGGAAAGGGCTTGACAATAGCTAATGCTGTCTCCCATATTCGATTGCTAAGCTTTGCTCTTACATCAATTCTCCAATCACAAATAGTCCAAGCCACATCTCTATTACACCTACAATTTTAGTATTTATTAAAAGTAGTCAATGACAGCAAGCTATTGAATTGTTGTACTCTGATGATTAGAAAAAGTCTTGGCAAACGCGAAAGAAAGGTGCATCACGTGAACCGCATTTTCGGAGATAGCGCTGCAAGAGGGTTGTTACTTGATATTCAACATTGATTATTTTTCATGCCCAAGGCGATCCAAAAAGTTCCATCAGAAGAACCTAGAAGGACTGACGCACGCGCTGTACGCGACTGACTCAACGTGCAACGCCGAGAACCATACAATACACATCCAACCCAACATCAAGCAACATCCCCACCAAAGCCAGCAACAATATACAACGCAAACTACTATACCCATAACTACACCTCCCTATAGCCCCAAACGCTCATCACAATCTGCACCATGTACGGTGAACTCGGCAACAAATTAGTCCGTCAAATCCGGCCCCCTAAACTTCCCACCAAACAAAACCCCCCTCCAACTAACAAACCAACTCAGGTCCAACACGCCAAACGCACCCAATCCCTCGCCCACCTGCCCCCTTACCAAACCGAACTCGTCCGCTCCGTCGCCCGCGAAGTGCGCGATCTCGACCGCGATGTCAACCACCTCCTAACCCCCTTCTCCGGCTCCTTCAACCCCTCCCAACAGCCCGCAATCGCCTGCGCCCTCCTCGTCGACCACCTCTGCATGCGCCGCAACAAGCGCTGTCTCCTCGCGTACCACCGCGTGCGCACCGAGAAGCTCGAAGAACTCTGCTGGACGGGCATCGACGTGCTCGAGCAGCAGGCGCCCTCGGCCGCGGAGGACGGCGCCCAGACTGTTGCTAGCTCACAGAGTGGGAATCATAGCTCCCTGAGTCCCGAGGAGGAAGAATATTTTCGGCAGTATAGTGATATGTTGGCGGCATATAAGGGGCAGTGGACTGATGTTGATCTTACGGGGGCGTTGGAGCCGCCTAAGGATTTGTTTATTGATGTTCGGGTTCTTAAGGATGCGGGGGAGATTCAGACGGAGTATGGGTATGTTCTTCTATTTTCAGCCCTTCTTTCTTGGTATTTTGGGAGAAGGGGAAACTAGTGGGGTGAGAGCTTGGTGCTGACTTCTCTTATAGGGTTATTAACTTGACGAAAAATAGTCAGTTGTATGTGCGACAGGGGGATGTGGAACGGTTGATTGCGCAGGGATTCTTGGAGCGGTTGAGCTGATGGTATGCTGGTTTTTTTTTTTTTTTTTTTTTTTTTTTTTTTTTT